TTGGGCAGACATGCTAGCTCAACACTTGTGCCATTTTTGTTACAAGTTGGCTAACACATTGTTTCATCTTCCTAAGGTCACGTGTGTGTGAAGTGCGACGTCAAATCGGCACTATTGATTTGAAATGATCTTTACCGTTGATCTTCTGTATAAAAGGGGAGGCGATGAGCCATTTTACTTTGCCATTTTGAGTGAGCGATCATAGGAGCTCAACAAGCATTAGTCCTTAACTTGTGTTTTAGGTGTTTCACGGTGTAGTTCTTCGGTAAGATGTCTTCAACTTCCTCCTTGTGTTCTTGCTCTTCCTCTTCGTCTAGTAGTATGTCTGCTAGCGTGTCTGAGCTGGGGTTTCACCTTGAAGCCATTATGTTTGAGGTCTACGAGATCAATGCCCGCGAGGCCGAGGTCGATGGGCTTGAGGGTGAGGGTGCCTCGGTGGAGGAGGCTACGGCCCTTCAGGAGACCAAGGTCAGGGAGATCGACGAGGCCAAAGTGGACACTGTGTCAGAAGAGGGGCTCAACGCTCTTGCACGGTTCTGCAATTGCTTTGCGTCTTCGCCTTGTAGGTTGACACTCAGAGACCTTACTCGAATTAGGACCCTTTATTGCATTCTTGAGGAGTACGAGTTGAGGTGCCTCGACGTCGGTGAGAGGGCTACCTCAGCTCGATTGGGGGAGCTTTGCATCTACGAGCATTGACTAACTTGTTCTCTCTGGTAGATGTGGTGGTTGTTGACGAGGAGAGAACGAGGCGCATGCAGGCTATCGCATAGAGGAGGGCAGCTCAGCAGAAATGCCGCCTAGAGGTCGTGAACTTTCAATTACACAAGAGGTCAAGGCTGACCGAGGGAGACGTGGTGGGACGTTGGCTCTAATGGCTCTCCACCGCAGGGAAGWCTTAAGGTCCACCCTTCGGGTTTGGTGGAGTTGGGGGCTGAAGTGTACAGGCCGCTGAGCTGGAGTGTCCGACCCRAGGACACTCTGGAAATTAAGGGTGTGCCTGAGCAGCTGGCTCAGGGTATTTTGTTGCTTGACATYTGAAGGGAGATGAGTGACTATACAAGCGGGGTGTTGAAGAGTGTGGCCATCARAGAGTCTGTTGCGGTGAGGTGAGTTTTCTTTTTGTAGGCCCTCTGTTGGATGGACGAGGCTCAGGAAGGTGAGTTCTCCTGTTTACAGGTAGAGATGGTCGAGCTAAGGCAAGCGGCGGTGGCCAAGGACGAGGAGCTGCGGTGTTTGAAGAGCCATGCACTCAGCTCAAGGAGGGTTCCAATAAGGCATGGAAGGCGGCCGAGGAGGCAGAGGCGAAGCTGCTCCATGCTGAGGAAGAAGCAGTGGTGAGGCACAAGGAGTCCGAGGTGTTCCAGATCACCCTTGATGACTTTGCTATAGATTCCTARCAGACTGGTTTTACCCGTTGCCAGAGGAGAGTGATGTGTGAGAACCCTAAGATCGCCGCAATAGTTGAGCAGTACGGTCCTTAAGATGCCGAGGAGTCGTCAACTAAGTAGCCCACCCTGAACGACAATGCAATGACTCCTGAGGAGGTGATCCTCACAGATAGCATGGCTGGCCTGGAGTGACGTTTCCCCTTTTTTGTTGTTTGCAGCTTGGTAGTTGGGCTTATGATTGTACTACATTTTTGTTATTGAAGATTTTCTTTGTTGAGCAAATTTCTTGTTGTACACTATTCACTCCCCTTTTTTTTCAAGATATCATACTTCGGGTTTTGGTGGCACTTGGTCTTATGTTGGCTGAGGTCCTTGACTTGATACTCGCTAGTCGAGGTCTCTAGCTTTGTGGCCTCGGTCTTATGCTGGCTGAGGTCCTTGGCTTAATGCTTGCTGAYTGAGATCTTCAGCTTTGTGGCCTTAGTCTTAAGTTGGTCGTGGTCTTTAGCTTGATGTTTGTAGGCTGAGGTCTTTGGATTTGTGGCCTCAATCTTACGCTAGCCAAGGTGCTTCCAAGCTCTCAATGTTGTCAAGGAGTTCGGTGGCACCTCTGCTTGGAGAGCTTCATGCTCTTTGACTGGRCTAGTCGTGGTCTTGGTTAGCTCTGCTCTGATTGGAAGTCAGGAGGGTGTGTGGAGTTCGATGTTCGTCCTCTTGCCATTCTGTGGCAGGGCGTCGTTCCTGTGGTACCGATCAATGGCTTGTGCTATTCTCAACTGTTTGTGGTCGGTTAGGTCTCGTGATGGTTGTCAGGCCTCGGCCATTATAGGTTGGTCGGGTCCTTGAGGTTGTCATTGTGCTGCGACCACTGGTCAATATGGAGTTTGGCTATTGGAGTTTGGTCGGGCTATGTGCAKGCATTTGGTTGCTTGTGCTTGAAGGAAAATTCTTCTTCCACAACCTATTGTTGAAACTTCTTTTTTCTTCTTCTTCATCTTTCTCTCTTTTCTTATTTTCTTGTATTATCTGAATTATTGTAATTGTAATTTTCAACTGGTCCATTGAGAAATTAACAAATTCCCACCCAACCTGACCCAAGTTGCTTCTCTAATAGTATGTCTTCTTTGTTCCTTGAGAAGAAATCCCCCTTCTGCATTTTGTTTGCATCCTTAACCACCATTTTCTCTTCTTCATGTGTTTGGTTGTGTTCACTTTACACAAAAGTTGTGTCTTGGTTTTAACAAATTAGATTCCCGAGCCATTAAATGTATTTTTCTTGCTGAGTACAAAACCCAAAAGGGATATAATGTTATAGTCAAGGTTATATAAGGCCTTGTGAATCTAGATGTCACTTTTTGTTGCTTTCTTCTTTGGGAGTGAGTTGGCTTCAAATGTTACCCTGCTTCTTTTACCTACACTAGTGGAGGTAAGCTCTTTAACCTCTTCATCATGCTTTTGCTAGCTCAAGTTCCCACCAACCAACCTCAACTTCTAAACAGCTCAACAAATGGTGACTCAGCCTT